TTACCGCTAAACGCGGCCCGGTGCCGAAACTTATCTAGACGGCCCATATCCGCCGCAGCCAACTTGCATGACGCTCAAGACGGTCTCATCTGGTTTGGGCTTCAAGGTTTTCTTGACAGGGCTCGGTGTGCTTAACAGCTCTGATGCCACATCCGGAAGCTTACGATAATAACGGCGTCAAATATGTCCCAGAGAGTGAAGATGATGTAAAAGTATAACATTGTCGTGGCGAAACAGAAGGAGCAGAAATTTGGGTAGACTGTCCAGTTTGAGTTCCTTGACAACTCCTGAAAAAATTGCGCAGGTTGGAGCTCAGTGAAATATAGCAGAGGCAGACGCGAAACAGATTAAGAGTCGCCTAGCGAGGAACTGCGTGAAACCAAGATGGGGTCAGTCGGACTATGAAGAGGTCCGCGAAGGAACATCCTATGTCTTGCCTGAATGCAAGTACCAGTGTTAGTGACACTCACAACACGGATGAAGATTTCGATCCCATCTGCCGCCGAGGTAAGCCAATCTGTCCATCATTAGGTAACTAGGTTTGGATCAATTACAATTATGCACAACAAGAAAACGCAGTGTGAGTGTCATGCGTAATACTCAACGTCATAGAAGGTTTCTATATCGACACAGCGGTTAGCTGTACGCAAACGCGACCGCTCAATCCAAGGGGACCCAAGAGGTCAGGACCAGCGGAAAAGTGGAACAATGGAGGGATAAGAAAACTGGATAGGTTCCATCGATGGAGATGAAAGACTGGAGGGTGATAACGCAACCCGCCTGCGTGTTCTAGTCGCAGGACCGCAAGCCCACCACAAGATAAGGTAGCCCCGCCCCGCGTTGAGGGGCCTTGAGAAAGGATATCCAAGCGGTACAAGGCAGAAAGAAACGAGGGAATCTGGGTTGACGCGCCGGATTGGCCAACCGTGAACCAACAGCACGGGCTCGTACGCAATTATCAGCCAACATTAGCCGGGGTGTAGACATTTCAATATGGGGTAATAAACACGGAGAAAGTGAGTCTCCCATCATTCCAAGATGGTATATCAGGTGTTGCAACAGTTCCAGCCCAGATAGTGGTGCGGGGCCGGCTCCGGCTTCCCCGGACCCAATCAGAGCCACTCAACATCGGGCAAGTCTAAGCTCCTTCTCGGATGGAGTCGAGGAGAACAGGGATCAACTTGGGGTCGTCGTACACCGATACGACCTGACTCGAATCTACCCCGAGGAAAGTCCAGTGTTTGCCCCACGCTCGCTCGTCATATAGCGGGGGCAACTTGGTCTCACGAGAAAACGGGAGCTCGCCGTGGGGACTGTCTGGTCTTTGTCTCGGTGTTGCACCCGGCACATTACTCCGCCTGGAGCGTTGTGCGCAAATAAATAACGACTAGGCCTTGGTGGCCATATGTCGTCCCATTGAATTCTAGCTCCCTCCTCCTCTCTATCTCTCTCCTCTTCACTCTCACTCCCTTTCCCCCTTCCTCGACTCCAATCTGTGCCTCAACACGTTGCTCCCCCCCTCCTTCGAATCGTTGCCATGGCCCCCCAAAGCTTGTCCCTCCAGGCAAAGGAGGGAGTTCATGATTATGAGAACCCCTCCGTCTTCCGACGCAACACCCTGCCTGCTCGAGCATACTTCATTCCTGAGACGTCGCTGCTGCTCAATGGCGTCTGGGACTTCCACATGGCTGGTACTCCCGAGGAGGCGCCTTTGCCGGAAGAGAAGGGCGATGAATGGGGCACTATCAACGTTCCAGGTCACTGGCAGCTTCAGGGACACGGATACCCGTGGTATACCAACACTCAGTTCCCCATTCCTGTGAGCCCTCCGTACGTGCCCAGCGAGAACCCTACGGGTACCTATAAACGCACATTTTACGTCCCCTCGACGTGGGACGCGAAGTCGCAGTTGCGCCTGAGATTTGACGGTGTCGACTCTGCATACCACATCTGGGTCAACGGCGTGCTCATTGGGTTCGCGCAAGGGTCCCGAAACCCGTCCGAGTTCGATGTCACAGGCATTCTGAAGAAGGACGGCCCAAACGAGCTCTTTGTCAGAGTTTACCAATGGTCTGACGCAACATACATCGAGGATCAGGATCAATGGTGGCTTTCCGGTGAGTGGAAGTCAAGACATCTACCCGTTGGGCGTCTGCTAACCACTTGTTCGCAGGTATCTTCCGCGACGTCACCCTCCTTGCCGTTCCCGAGGCCACCAGAATCGAGGATTGGTTCCTCCGCACCGACTTGGACGAGAAATATGAAGATGCTACCCTCCTCGCGACTGTCGACATCAAGACTGCCGAAAAGGGCACTGTCAAGCTCACTCTTAGCGAACTTGGCAAAAACGGCGGCGCCGTGATTGCCACCAAGGAGGCAGAGGTTACCTCCAGCGACACAAAAGTCGACCTTAGCATTCCAGTTACAAACCCCAAGAAGTGGACGGCCGAGACACCCTACCTCTACCGAGTCGATATCACCCTCGGCTCCCACTCCATCTACCAAAACGTCGGCTTCCGCAAGGTCGAGAGGAAGAACGGCCTTATCACTGTGAACGGTGTGCCCATCCGCATCAGAGGTGTAAACAGACATGAGCACCATGCTCGTTTTGGCCGCGCCGTCCCTCTCGAGTACGCCAAGCGCGACCTCCTCATCATGAAGAACCACAACATCAACTCCCTGCGGTGCTCGCACTACCCTCCTCACCCCCGTGTCTTCGAGCTCGCCGACGAGCTCGGTCTGTGGGTCATGGACGAGGCCGATCTTGAGTGCCATGGTTTCTACGATGCCGTTGCACGCCCACAAGATGTCGACGAGGCGGCGGATTACGAAGAGCGCAAGGCTGTAACCTTCCCGCTGGCGGGCAAGTACACCAGCGAAAACCCCGAGTGGCGTGAGGCCTACCTCGACCGCATGGTCCAAATGGTTCAGCGTGACAAGAACCACACGAGTATCATCATGTGGTCGCTCGGTAACGAAGCTTTCTACGGCCAAAACCACAAGGCCATGGACGAGTATGCCAGGAAGTTTGACTCTGGTCGCCCAGTCCACTACGAGGGCGATGTCAAGGCTGAGACTGCAGACATGTACTCCTACATGTACCCCCCTATTGACCGCCTGAGCAACCTGGTCGAGACTGAGGGCGTGAAAGAAGATGGAAGCTTTGACAAGCCCGTTATCCTCTGCGAGTACGGCCACGCCATGGGCAATGGCCCTGGTGGCCTCGATGACTATATCGAGGTTTTCGAAAAGTACCCCCGCCTTCAAGGCGGCTACATTTGGGAATGGGCAAACCACGGTATCTGGAAGGAAGATGCCGACGGTAAGGGCTACTACGCCTATGGCGGGGACTTTGGCGAACGCCCTCACGACGGCACCTTCGTCATGGACGGTCTCCTTCACAGCACCCATGACCCTACTCCTGGCTTGGTTGAGCTCAAGAAGGCCTACCAGCCTCTACAGCTATCTGTTGAGGGCAACCAGCTGGTGGTGAAGAACAAGTACGACTTTGTCGGCGTCGACCACCTCACTTCCACCTACAAGGTTGAGGAGCTGGGCGAAAAGTGAGTCTACCTGTTTGTGAATCAAGTTCAAGGAAGATGACACTGACAACAATTGAAACAGATCCGCCCTTCTCGCCTCGGGTAGCATTGATATTCCCAAGGTCGCCGCCGGCGAGACCGTTAAGGTTGATCTCCCCTCAAGCCTCGCGAACATCAAGTCCGACAAAGAGGTCTACCTCACTGTGACTTTTGGCCTTAGGGAGTCCACCAACTGGGCCGAGCTCGGCCACGAGATTGCCTGGATTCAACACAAGCTGTCCGGTGTGCCCGCTGCTCCCAAACTGGCCACTAGCACCCTCACCTCCAAGCTGCAGGTCGAAAGGTCCCGCGCCAAGGCAACTGTTTCCGGCTCTGACTTTGCCATCGCCTTTGACACTGCCCGCGGCTACCTCACTTCCTGGACGGCTGCAGGCATTCCTCTCCTCGAGAAGGACGCTTCCACCGGTGCTGCCATCATTCCTAACTTTTGGCGCGCCCCCACCGACAATGACAAGCCCAATGACGAGCCTTACTGGGTTCGCTTCGGCGTCAATGCCTTTGACAGTCAGCTCCGGTCGCTCAAGATCAACGAGTCGACTGATAAGGTTGAGGTCATCACCAACACTTACCTGTCTCCTCGTGTTCTCGACTGGGGGTGGGAAACCACCACGACCTACACCATCGAGGCTACTGGTCGGCTTACGGTTGCAGTTGAGCTGAAGCCCCGCGGCATCAAGCCCACACACATCCCTCGCGTGGGTCTCAACCTGCGTCTTCCTAAATCGCTCGATAACGTCAAGTATCTTGCCCTCGGCCCCGGCGAATCCTACCCAGACAAGAAGTCCAGCCAGCACCTTGGCGTCTTCAGTGCCACCGTGCCGGAGCTGCACCAGCACTACGAGGTACCCCAAGAGGGCGGTAACCACATGGAGACTCGCTACGTCAAGCTGACGGAGGATCACGGCCGCGGCCTTCGTGCCACTCCGGCTGATGCTGCTGTCTGGTCCGAGGAAGAGTGGCGTCAGTTCAGTTTCCAGGTCAGCCGGTACACTTCCGAGACGGTGCAGAATGCCGCGCACCCATGCGACCTCGTGGAGGAAGATGCGACGCTCCTTCGATTGGACGCTCGCGTTGCCGGTGTTGGTACCGCTGCTTGCGGCCCCAACGTTCGTGAGGACCTCAAGGTGCATGTCGGAGAGTTCAAGTTTGGATTTGTACTTGAGAGAGTTGGGTTCTAATGATTGAAATGCAATGACCATGGGGACGTTTCAAATAAGACAGATATCTTGAAATGAATAGAGCTATAAGCAGTATGATGAATGACCACAATACATCTCAAATGGTCGATACTCGTTCGTTACCCGTGAATCAACGAGTAACGGGATCAAGGATCTTGGCAGAAACTGAGTGGAGAGCCAAACATAGCCTGTTGAGTGACGCAGCCAATCATGAATCACTGGCCGGTTGGCCCAATGGCAAGGCGTCTGACTACGATTGAAAAGGAAACTCAAGGTCATAATCAGGAGATTCTGGGTTCGACCCCCAGGCTGGTCAATTGTTTTGCACCTCCTGTGAGAAAGAACTTTTGTCCGAGGCGCAAAACAGCAGCAGTTCCTCAAGTTCTTGTTTTATAATCATGTGTCTGCTCTTTGAAGTTGAAACTTTTATTGCGGTCTATGAAAGAAAAGAATGGAGAACGTCTTAATACCCAACTTAGTAGCAACTGAAAAAAGCATGTATCTGCAAGATAAACACAACCTTTGTGTACATCGATTAGTTCTGGAACTGAAGCCGTGGCCTGCTTATCCTCTTGCCCACTTTCAGCTGAAGGCATGGGGTCGCGCCGTATACTGGGCTTACTTGATCATGTGTCAAATACCATGTGTAGTGCTGGCTGGCGTTCATCCGAGCCGCAAATAGATGGGCTCGTTGGGTTTATGCTTCTACCGCTATGAGGTTGCACCTCCAGGGCGTGTCTCGTATTCTGATGTACGAATATTAGTACTCGTACTTTGCCCGGCACATGAATATCACTGTTTGCTTTGTACCGAGCCCACAGCGGGGTTGTCTTCAAGGGCTTGCAGTTTTTACCCACGATGATCTTGCCACCGAGTCCGATTGGGAACGACATAACCCCTCTCAGAGGGGGGGTTGCATCCGTGTATACTGCTATGGCCTACAGCCAACAATCCCTTGCATATCGAATGATCAAGGTGAGGGGTTTATCTGCATCATAAAGTCCATGTACGCTATCATCCTTTCTTCAACGCCACGGATTGATGCTCAAGTACCAGGGTCCGGAGTTCGCAATGACTTGAAAAGTGGAAAAGTTCATGGATGGTACCAGTAGTGATTTCTGCTATCCATCTGCTGTACCATGCATCTGTACTGATATCCTTCACAGCAACGTGCTCTACGGCTAAAAGCCTGAGGAGGAGTGGAGATACAGGGGCCGGACTTCGAAAATGTTATGTCAGAAAGTTATACGAATGATGATTTCAGATTTCAGTTAAATGCGCATATTATCTTTCAGATTGAGGACCTAGAAGACTGGAATTAGAACAATGAGATGCCACTTCAAATGGCTGAGAGGCTGGGAAGGCCTGGAGAGCAGAGATGGCACTTGTTGAACACTTCTCTGACCTTGATGATTGTTTAATTTGTGCATCGTGAGAGCAGCGGTCCTCCAGTCCGGACTAGACAGAAAGTCGTGGTCTGGTTCCCCAACCGCCTGCCCACGCATTTCTTTATTGCCACGATGCCGCCTTCTTCTTCTTCCAAAGGAGCCACTTCATGGATCTGTCAAAACGAAGACAGCAGCTCCTGAATCCCAGGTGAATGGTTACAGCATCCGTGCCTGCTGTCATCTATGCCTACCTTCGGTAATTAGTTCTTGGCCAAGGAAAAACCATCTGTGCGCCTCGCAGTTCGATTCCCATTCTTCCATCTTCCACCTTCCAACATCACACATTGTCATATTGCTTGACAGCCGTCCTTCGCCTCAGCACCACCGACCCCACCTATCACATATCAACACCTATAGACTTTCCTACATCTTTTCTTTGCTCTGGACCTCGTACTTGTTCTCTACAATTGAACCAGCCTTGAACTTGAGAGCCAGTTCTGATTTCACTTCTATCGAACCCACCATCACTTGCACCTCAGATATCGAAGCGTAATGGAGATACACCCTGTATCCACTGCAATCACCAAGTCCCCCACAGCCACGGGGGCAGAAGAGGTCTCTCATGACCAAGCACCCACAAGTGACGGCCTTGCTCCCACCTTGTATGCGCCTTCGACCTCTGTTCCACAGCTTCCGCCCATAGTTCACCTCGTTCATGGCAGACTGGGACGAGAGAAAGTCTACACAGTCATGTCCCCCGACTATGACACACCCTGCATCATCCTCGTCGACATGCACTGGTACTCCTCGTCCTTCACTATGAAGATGTTGAACGGAGAAAGTCTCACTACTGGGGTTTTCCCGACCGCACGCGGGAAGGTCGGTACATACTTCGGCCACAATTTCCTCGAAGTCAAGCTACCCTCTCCTTTGCCCACTCAAACCTCAGGTACCAAGATCACCATGAAATGCCACATGTCTCCCTTCCAACCTTATTTCATCAACTTGGTCTTGATTGTTGAAGGAAACGAGCATTGCTTGGAATGGGAAAAAAACTACTGACGCCGAGGTGAAGGCGCTTAGAAAGGCATTCCATCGGAAACTGGTTCGAAGGTCTGGCCCTAAATCTGGCACCGGCAACTCAAGCATGCTACCACAGGAGGGCTTCAAGAGCGACGGCGAGGATATTGTAGCTTTCATGGCAGACAACAGTCGATGGAAACCGGGCCACAGCTTCACTCTCCACTTCAAGGCCTCCGGGCTTGAGGGCACCTTGGGCGAAAATTAGAAGTCTTTCGTTCTCTTGTCTGGACTTTGGCTCTGGTGGATTGATCTCTCGCGGCACAGCAGGCTGGCGGCCGGTGCTGTAATTGCTACCGCTGGAATAACTTTGATTGCAGGGGCCGCTCCTTAAGTTTAGATTGCCAGGCTGGTGAACGACTTCAAACTCGAAAGAAACATGGCGAACCTCTAACTCAAATACCCTGCGTATGCACCACCCCCACATTTGCACCACTCCAAAACAGTGGATTCCCACCAAAATACACTATGTTTTCTAGCCTTAGGAATCTACTATAGTTAAGCTATAAAATTTAAGAAAAAAATCTTATAAAATACTTTAGTTCTATTAGTATTTTCTTATATATATATACTATTTTTAGACCTTTATATAACTAAGTACTAGTAGTAAATACTTAAGGATTCTTTTTTACTAAGAAAATCTTAGTATTTTCTAAAACTCTAGAAATCTTAATAAATACTTATATAGTAAAGCTAAAAATCTATAAAATATAGTATAAGCTTTATTATAGCTTATATATATATAAGAGTTCTATATATAGTATATATAGCTACTATATATAAATTTACTTACTTTTTATATAGAGTATAAAACTAAAAAAATATAATTTTTAGAATATCTAGCTATATATAAGAGATAAATTTTTTTTTACTTATACTATATACTATAGTACTAATATACTACTTAGTATATAGAAGGTTTACTATACTATATAATAATAGAACTATAATACTAAGTTAAAGTAGTAATAGTTATACTTTACTTTTAAAAAATCTTTTAATAATAATATTATAAGTTATATAACTTAAGATATATATTATACTATACTACGTTTTAAGTAGATTCTTATAATATACTTTACTAACTTATATTTATAGTATATAATATAAAAAACTAGTAAATACTTAAAAGTATAGTAGTTTTATTATAATACTAAAGCTATTATTATATATATAGACTATTATTTAATCTTTATAAGCTTAATAATATACTTTTATAGTAATATAATTACTTTAGTATTTTACTATATTTTTATATAGTTTTTTAGCTACTTATACTAATTTATATTTTATTTTTTAATAAATTAATATAGCTTTCCTACTAGCTGTTGTAGATCTAACAGGAGGAGTAAGGCTACAATAGGTAATATAAAGTAATATAGTGCAAAGGTAAAGTATAACAGTAAAGCAGTAAAACAAGGCAAATAATAATAAAGAGCTAAATAAATAACATAGGATAAAAGCTAAGTATTAGTATAGGTTATCTATTAAGGTTACTTTTTCTTATAAGAAGAAATAGGTAATAAAATATATACCCCTAGGTATATACCTAGATATATACTAATAAGGTAATCCTATATTCTACCTATCTATTTACTATATAAGGCACTTGTCTTATAATAAGTGCTCTCTCTCTAAAGGACTTTATCCTCTTTTACTAAGAAAATATACTAAATAGTAGTATATATAAATATAAAGTATAAGAATTACTTTTCTTCTTATATAATAACCCTATTACTTATTATCTCTAAAGTTCTATTAAGATTATTTAGTCTTTAGTAGCGCCTAGGCTAAGTTATTATTATTAGTATTATAGTAGTATTTATTAGCTTAGTTACCCTAGGTTATTAAGGCAGTAACCTTAGGCTAAGTAGCTAGGACCTAAAGGTTAACTATAGCCTTTTATCTATTAAGCTTAGTAGCTATTTAGTTAACCTTGTCTATTAACTCCTTAAATAGGCTACCCTTAAAAGTAGTTAGTGTGTTAAGGTTATTAGACTTTTATTAAAGAGTATAACTTTAGTATTTATTTAGTCTACCTACTTCTTAAGTTCTTTAAGGTACTTCTTTTACTTATATACTTTATTAGCCTTTTTATAAAAGTTCTTTATAATATTATTAATATTTATATTAAAGGTGTTAGTTTTTTTTATAATATCCTTAGTAAGTTTAGTAGCTATATTAGCCTTAGCGTTATATTTATTAATATTACCTTTATAGCTATTAACTATATTAGCTAGCTTAGTAATATTCTCCTTAAGCTTAGTAATAGTATATAGCTACTTTCTTAGCTAGTTAAAGTAATAAATCTCTAAGATAAAGATCTTTTTAAGACATTAGATTAGAAGAAGTATACTTATAACCTTTAAATTAGATTAGCTAGGTTAATAAAGGAAGGTAAAGCTAATAAGTGTAGTATAGCTAAGAATATTACCTATATAAGGCTTACTCTTTTTATACTTAGTTAAGATAGTGTTTATTAAGGTAGTAATTTTATAACAGAAGTATATATCTAATATAAGTAATAATTACTATAACACTATAAAGCTACCTTATTACTAAGTATAAAAGGCTTTAACTTAAGCTATAGTCTCCTTATAGAGCTATTTATTACTACTCTTATAGAAAGTGTCCTTTAAGTAACAGAAGGCCTCTTTATAAGTAAAGATAGCTAGCTTTAAGCTATAGCCTTTTTACTTTATAAAGTATAAGGTTTATATACCTAGTTATTAGTATTATTAGCTTCCTTAGTAGTAGTAGCTTTAGTATTAGCCTTATAGGCTTAGATTTATTTAAGGACTTACTTATTAATAGGTTTATAACTAAATAGCTTAGTTATTTCCCTTGTATAGTTATTAATCTCCTCTAGGGTAGTAATTACTATTAACTTCTTATATATAGTAGTAGGCTTCTTTAATTCTCCTATATTATTATACTTTCTTATTTCCTTAGTAAGCTTTATAGCTACTTTTATAGTGTTAAAGGTTTTCTTATAGTAGTAGCTTTATCTTAGAGTTACTACTAGATTTTATTAAAAATAAGCTATCTTTATTACTTATAGTTCTTAAGTAAAGGCTTTTACTATTTAATATATTTTATAGCCTTATTAGTGTCCTTTATTATATCCTTAGGCAAAGAAATATTATTACTCTTAATACTAAAGACATTAGAGTTTATACCTTTATTATTATTATTATTATTCTTATTAATATTATTATTATTCTTAGTAGCCTCTTCCTTATCCTAGGACTAAAAGGCTAGTTAGTTAATAGCTATAAAAGATAGCTTAAGAATAGATCTAGGCTTATTAGCTAGGGCAGTAGTAACCTTATTAGGCTAATAGGTTTACTTATTAGGCTAATTTACCTTAAGGCTAGTAATATAGAGAAGGTTATCCTTATTAAGGTACTAGTTAAGGTTAATAGTGTCTAGGTTTAAGGGATTATTATTACCTAGGATAAGGCTAAATTAAATTAGGGTGCTTATAGTAGCTTATTTTTTTTCCTATTTAAGAGGTAGAAGTTTATAGGAGAAAGAGAAAAAGAATATAGAAAAGAGATATATTATTACTATAAGAATATTAATAGGTTATAGTTAATAACTATAGTAATATATAAAGTTAGTAATAGTAATAAGAAAGTAGTAGGTTTAGTAAGTTAAAAATAAGAAAACTATAGTTATAGGTAAGTAGGTTAATTTATCCTATTATTATTATTAGTAACTATAGGTAAAGAAGGTATAGTTAGTTATTTTAGGTAAAAGCTTCTTTTATTATTTTTAAGATATTAAGCTATATAAATATTCTTGTTGTTTACTATATAACTATATATTTTAATAAAAGAAAGTGTTAATTATCTTTAAGTTATTATTATTTTATTAAAAGAAAATTAAGAAATAAGGTTATTATTAAGAATAAGGTATAAGGCTAAGTTTCTTTCTACGTTATTATAAAGTATTATAACTATTTTAGTGCTAACTATAGTAGTGTCTATAAGAAGTCTACTAATATAGGCTTTTAGCTTTATTTCTTTATATACTTTACTACCTAATTAATAAGGTTAGCCTTCTTAAAGTTAGTTATAATATTACTAGCATTAGGCATAAGGTTCTTATAAGTTCCTATATATTAAATACTAGTAAGTACCTCTTTTACTTAATAAGATACTTAACTAATAGGTAGTTCTTTTACTAGTTAACTCTATAGTCTATAATCTTCTTAACTTTAAATTCCTTTATACTATTACTTTTACTAGCTCTAGGGGTAATTACTCCTTTTAAAAAGGTTATTACTAGTTAGTGCTTTCTATAGCTATATAGTTAATACTACTAGGTAGACCTTCTAGTGTAGTAGTAGGTTAAGTTTATAGGCTTTTAGCCTAACTATATAGTAATATAGAAAGGTCTAGTATACTAAAAGACTATTTCTACTTAGGCTTACTTAGTAATAAATAGCCTTTACTAAGTTAAAAGAAAACCTTATCTTTAATATTAAGCTTTATAAGGTAATAGTAATAATTATATTATTCTTTTCTTATTACCTCTACTATATTAATAAGAGCTAGTGCCTTTACTTAGTATATTTAGTATAAGATATTAAGAGACTTTAATAAAAGTCTATTTTTACTAATATACTTTAGTATTATCCTAAGGTAAAATCTAAGAATAACCTTATTTAGTAAGTAACCTACTATAATACTAATAAGTTATTAAGTAAGTACTATAAAGCTATAAAATATTAGTCTATAGATATTAGGGTTAGTATATATATAAAAGTATATAGTAATCTTAACTATTTAGTTAGTTCTTTTACTCTAACTATTAGTCTAAGGATAGTACACTATAAATATAAGTAGTTATACTTTAAAGGCATTAAATATCTCTACCTATATTATAAAATAAACTTAGGGTTATAGTTACTAATAATTACTATTAGTAGTCCTTAGTTATATATTATAAGCGTTTAAAGTAATACCTAGGCCTAGTAGTAAGCCTTATACCTTATATATCCTAGGATAAGTAAGATTTTTTTACTAAACTTATAGGTTATAGTATAAAGGCTATTAAATATATAGAAGTTAAGTATAGTCTAAAAGCTACCTTAGGTTAAGACTTCTAGTATATCTATAATAAAGTCTATAGAGATAGTATAGTAAGGTACACTAGGTGTTATAATAAGTTAAAGGGATCCTATAGCCTTCTAGTAATCTA